ATATATATATATATATATATAATAAAAGAAAAGTAAGGATAAACTCATGCAAGTCATTTTGTTCTACGGAAGCAATTTTCCCTCTTTCTTTTTGTCCATTTTGGATTAATTAAAAAATCTGTGGTCCCATATGCTGTTACACCGTTCTTTCTCTCTTGAAACCAAATCAAATGGTGGGAGGAGCAAATTCTACCATATTTTCTTCACCCTTTCTTCCATCCTCCCAATTTTGGTTGTTTCAAACACATAGTAAATGTTTATTTATGGAATGTGTAAATCTAGATTTCATGGAGCATGCTGTTAGACACCGATAAATGCAATCATAACACTAAAGTATATGAGAAAAAATGATTAATAATTTATTAATTTGGTAATGTTTTGTTGAGTATTGGACTCCTTCCCTATGTGGAAAAAAATCCAAGATTGAGAAGTCTAAATTTTGTCTCACTTAAAAATCAAGTGGAGAAGGGAAAGAGACAGAATGAATTACACAACAGTCAGCGAGAGAAAAAAGAAAGAAAGAGAGCAAAAAAATTGGTTTGCATACACAAAGCAATTTTAGTAAAATTGTGATCATCACTTCATTTACCGTTTGATCAGGCTGGAAATTTGACGACAGGTTCTTAACACGGTGATCTTTCGTTTTGATTGTTGGGATCATGGATTAGAGGTTTGTGGTTGGAGAAATCAATTTCGCACAATTGCTTTGATTTGAGGTTTCTTCTTTTTTATTCTTCAGTTAGAAGACCTTGTTACCTTAATATATTGGTTAGTTGTAAGCATTTGTTTATGCATTTAATTAGTCTCTCTTGTACCCTTATTTGATCATAATGGAGCTTGATTGAGTGGTTTGTACCAGTGAGTTTTTACTTCACAGATTGAGAGGGTTTTCTTATGTTAAATATATGTGTTTCTTTGTGATTATTTTCTACCATTTATTTGTTTTGTTGCTTCTAGTTGGTTTTTGCAAGTTGGGGAATTATTTTCGCTACGTACTTTGGTACTTTTGATTATAGTATTGTTGTTTCTCCTATCATGTTTCGATGTAATAAGTGGTTTTCTTTATTTTAAGATGTATTAGATGATATCTTCCAAACAAAAACTAGCTTTATCACAATCATTAATGTGAGAAATTGTGAATAGACATAGTTGATGCAGTTGTAATTGTAAATAACAATCATACTTAATTCAAAAATAATGATGTTGTAATTGAAATTATGATCATATTTAATTGATACAGTTCAGGATTTAGGATTTAAAGTAAGATATATTAAATGGTATATTCTAAGAAAAAATCAATTAGTTTTATCACAATCATTGATGTAAAAAATTGTGAACAAATATGAATGTTGCAACCACAATTGCATCATAATGACTTCAAAAATCTTGATGTTGCGGTCAAAATTGTAGTTGCATATAATCAATGCAATTATTATTTTAGTCAAGGTGATTCCAAAAATCTTGATGTTACAATTGAAATTCCAAAAATCTTGATGGTGCAATTGAAATTGCAGTTGAAGACTTTTTTTAAAACCTTGGATTAGAAATATAAAGTTACTTTGTATGGTCATATACAAGAAAATTCAAAATAATAATAAGGAATATCATAGAAATTCATTGTTTAATTAATTAATATAAAAAAAACCAATAAAGTGTGTAATTTGTAGAAGTTATTATGTCTAATAGCTTTCTAACAAATTAATTACCTAACTAGTGATATTTTTAATAAACTACTCATAACAACAACATATATTCACAACAACATATATTCATAGTTTAGAAGTACCAAATCACCGGTCTTCAAAGCTTAGCGCTTTTAATTTTTGGGTCAAATATGTTTTTAGTCCCTTAAATTTAAGATAAATTTATTTTTAGTCCTTTAACTTTAAAACTAGTCTTTATACTCAAATTTTGTTAAGAAATTCGTCAAATATTGTCGTATAACTTTTTATACAAGTGTAAAATATCATATTAAATTTAATTGATACTACATAATTATTTTAATTTGTCACTTTTAGATATGTTATTAGTGATTTGAAAGACTAAAATAATTTTTAAAAACTAAAGAAACTAAAAATAACAAATTTGAATTTAAAGGACAAAAATAAATTTACCCTAAATATAATAAATTAAAAATATATTTAACCCTTAAAAGGAAATTTGAAATCTTGGATTCTAACCTTGAAATCGCAGAGGTTAGTGTTCTTTTTGGTTAGGTGTTTTCATTTGACCCATAATCAACATAGCAAGATCCTAATCAAGTGTTTTTACTTTCATTAATAACTTCACTTGGGAATTTAAACAAGCGACATCATAGAATATATTTAATACAGCTCCGACTGAAAAATTATGTACATTGTTTCTAAAGTAGATATTTCCTCATGTACCCAACTTTCTCATATTTTGTATGGTTGATGTAAAATCTGATATTACTAACAAGCCCTACGAGTGCAATTCAGCCCGCTTCCCTTAAAAAAAAATTAATTTCAAGTTTTGTTAATAATAATGATTAAAAAAAACTTTAAATAGTTAAGCAGATTTATTGACATAAACTATTTATTAGTAAATTGATAAATATTTCAAACCAATAGCATAATTACAACCTAAATAAAAAAAATAACATTAAAAAAAATAGAATGGTAGTCGTAATTCATTGCCCGTATTCTGGTTTAGGATTTCCATATCAACTATGGATGAACAATGGCATGAGGAGTCTCCATTAAAATATATTTATGTTACCCTACCCTCTTCCAAAACTATACCCTAATATTTTGTTGCTCTCGCTGGCAATCTTGTAAAGAAACTTCTAAACAAGTTGCAGTTTATCTCTTGATACATGTTTGAATAGGGTTTGTTTAGTACAATCCAGTAGAATCTAGCAACTATAGCCATAGTGAGTAGTAATTACTTGATCAAGTTCATACATGACATATCATTAGGCCACAACTGTAGAAGAAAGTTTTATTTATAGTTACACATTATTTTTTCAAGCTGTAGTGCTTCTTCACAGCTTCAATCACTTCCCAAGTAATGTTCATTCCTTTTGGGAAGACAACTAAATCACCAGCCCCAATTTCAAAAGATCCAACAGACCCTTCAACAGTAACCTTCACTTTTCCCTCAAGCAGATACATAGTCTCTTCTTCTTTAAAGGACCATGGAATTTTGGTTGGACCTCCTTCCCACCTGTTGATGTTCAAAGAAACTTAAGATAGTATGAAAAATGAAAAGATAGGAAAGAACCAAAGCACTGCAAAATGCAAAACCAAGAAAAGATATAAACTTGCGCAGACAAATGCAGGTTTTACATGATTGAAATGTGCAAGCCATTTCTTTGTGCTGCCCCCTTAAACTGATTAAACAATGCATTTTAGTGTAGCATAGAGTAATTACATGCATGCATCAAAAGTCAAAATAAAGGGGCATTATCTCTGTAGCCTAATGTCATGGCTTTGCTTGTGACTAAAGGAGGAAAACTAAAAAGGAAACTTATAAATATTGTTTAACATCTAAGCTTGGTGCATAAAGCTGCAATTTAGTTCCATATTATCATTCACCATCAACTAAGTACAAAGTTTTCAAGGACAGAAATCAATATGGATCCTGTTGTACATAAATTCCTATAAATAACCAAGAAGATAAAATTTGAAACAATAGAAAATCGTTCTGATATAAGTCTAAGATCCCTTTATTTATGGCTTTCTTTTTGCTACTGTGTCACATGTATTTGTTTTAGATCCCTTGAGAAGAAACAATCATCCAGACCTTTTAAAGCACTGAAGACTTAAAAAAATTGTCATAATTTAGATTAATGTTACAGTCTATATGATGTTATAGTACAGAAGACTTTAAAAAGTTGTCATAACTTAGACAATGTTACTCTCTACATGATTTAAACACATACAGTTGAAGACTTAAACTTTATAAATATGACATGGTTATACTTTTTTCAACTCTTTTATTAAACAAGTATGCCAATATTACAAAAGGTACCACTTTCACAATGGGTCAAGATATGTAATCTTTAAACTATATAGGTGTTTCTCTTTTTCCTTTCTCTAAGAAACATAAGGAATCAGAACATGAAATCAACAGAGCCAAAAATTAGGAGCTAAACCACAGGCACAACACAAGGATGATGAGGGTAAAAGAAGCATTATCTTTCAGGAAACCATACACAGAGAAACCAGTGAAAGGTTGGACAGAAATTGCCTAACCAGTCAAATTACAAGATAAACCTCTCAAGAACCTAGAAAGATGCCAATGATGGTGCAGGTTGATGGATTTAAGAGCAAGCAACATAGCACAAACAAATGGTACAATCATACAAATGACAACAAGAGTCTGTTTGGATAAACTTCTCTAAAAACACTTTTAGTGGGGAAAAATTGAGAAGGAAAGATAAAATAAGCTTCTTCATAAGCTAGACTTGGCTTATGCATATACTAGTTTATAGAAGCTTTCTCATGTAACTTCTTAAAAAAAATTACAAATTAATTTATGTATGAGCTAGTTTTAGCTTATAGAGAAGGTTATTTCATCTTTCCTTCATATATTTTTTTTCCGAAGTACTTATCGAGAAATTTATCCAAATAGGCTATAGGTAGATTATTGTTGATCAGCCACACAAACACCCCAGAAAAAGATTTGACTCTCTAAACTGAGTAAGAGTAAAATACATAATTTCACTCCATGAAAAAAATCAACTGTTGGAATTTCTAACACATCCATGATTTATTTACTGTTGAAAGGAGATGGATCCGATTACCTAATCTTACAAGGATCCTGCTCTTCTAAAGCGAGTAGCACACTCTAGAAGGAAAGTAATATCATACATTGATATGAAAATCAAATTAACAACCGATTTTCTCATACTGGAATCATTTACTCCAATCTTATTCACTTTATAACCTTCAAATCCACCATACAATAACTTTTGAGATAGGAGTGGAAAGCACAAAAATGACCAAAACCCAAAATTTGTAATGCGAAAAGCTTGAAACTTTGAATGAGACACATCATGGACAACAGTGAAAACTGAGTAACATAGGGTGATACTTGAAAACAAAAAACAAAAAAACAAAAAAAAAAAGTGAAAAGAAAGAGAAAGAGAAAGTTACTTGGACCAAGTTGCAACTCCAAGCTGGTTGAGTTTGGATTGAGGTGGGTTCTTCTCTATCTTCACTCCGAACACCTCAAAGGTTTTCATAGCGGTTTCCTTTGGCATAAGCACTAGAAAGGAGAGAGAGAGAAGCAGAGGAACAAAAACAAGCAGTGACAAACGCAGCACAGACACAGAGGGCTTCATTGAAGTTTCTGTATTTCAAGTTTCAACAATTAATTCTGTAATGGGGAACGAAACACTTCCACTTTAAGTTCGTAATAATCACATTAGATTACAGAATCAATTCTAAAAAGATTTCCCTTTTCATTGCAATATTTGGATACTGTTGCCACTTTGGGGCCTTTTTTTTTCTAAAGACAAAAAGAAAAGTGAATTAAGTCCTCGCTCTAAAGGGTATTTTATTTATTAATAATTTTAATTTATAATATTTGAAAACTAAAAATAAATAGTATAAAGTACCCAGATTAATGATATCCTTAAAAACTAAAATAAATTGATTTATTATTGATTGAAAAAAATGTTAAATATGATAAGTTAATTAGTAATTTTTATTTTAAAAAATTTCATCTTAAAGTTCACTTTAGACCTACACCTAGTCTGATATACACATAAAAATTACAGACCTAAAAAAGTTATAAATTAACATGTTTAAGAGGAAAAAAAAACTAATCATCCTTTTATTTTAAAAGATTAAAAAAAAATTAAAATGATGTTTAAGTATAAAAATATGAATGAAACTAGACTCTCTTTTTTTTATTAGTAAAATATATTACAAAAATGTTAACGAATCTTCCAACTACTAAGCCTAGTCTAATCGTTTATAACTTAGCCTACTTAACCTCGTAATAATTAATGAGCGTAAAATATATTTAATTAAAAGTATAAAGTAAATTATTTTCATTCATATGTATCTTACTTTTTTACTATAAGATACTTGCAACATAACTCCAATCTATGAATTTGGACTTTGCAACTTTTTATCACAAAATAGAATTTTTGTTTTCATCTAAGTTTTACTTTACTCATAAATTGAAAGACTTTCAACGTGTTTTCAGTAGGCAATATATGACATTCTCATTCAAAATAACCTTTACATTATCTTTAGACGGCTTTGAAGTCCAAGTCCCTAAAGTGCAATTAAAGATTTGTGTTAAAGTTGTGTTCACATGAATTATAGTCAGCTAGTCATGAACACACTGGGCCGAAGATGTACAAGATTGCACAAATATCAGATATATCGAATCTCCTAAGATATAACGTGGTCGTCCTAGCTATACGTAGCCAAACAATAGAAAAAATAGAATTATATACATGAACAATGGCCAAAAAGTCAAGAATGCAAAAAGTTATAATGCGTGTTTGATTTTCATTTTTAAACGTAATTTTATCTTCTCTTTCCACGTCCATATATTAATTTACATAAAAACTGTTATTTTTTACTTCTACTTAAACATGACATGATTTTCTACATCTGACTCTAATTCAAACACGCTCATAATTAGATGAGAGGAGCGTTTTGAGAAAGCTTGATATTGCATAAGAATAGAGAAGTCATAAGGTAAGTTTGTGTCCTATTTATAGTAAATTTTGAAAACTTACCTTAGTTAAGTGTCATAAGTACTTTTAAATGGTTTGGATGGGTTATTCGTGGTTCTCCGTTTAATTAATGGTTAATTTAATTTATTAAAGTCACTTTTGGTTACAATTTGTGGTCTATTTATCTCAATTTGGCTATTTTCTAATCTTTTATAGTCCATTTCATTTCATCGTATTTGTGACAAAATAAATTTCCGGGGTGTTGATCTTTCGACATAACTTTTTACTGGTTGGACACATTATGCAGACAAACTGACGAGCCAAAGTTCTGTGATATAAACTACATGCTATGCTATTGGCCTTTATATACATGTACAGAAACGTTGGATACATTAGAAGCTAGCACCTAATCAATGAATCAGGCATGTCCTGTTCACGATTTCTTTCACTTTCTAGTATCATTGAATCCGTTTCTCAAGCTAGGAATTAAGCATGCATGATAACACTTGAACATGGCCTGCATTTTGTCAGATTTCATCACACAATCATTCTTGCCTCCTCGCTGTCAGGAATTATAATGTCAAGCCTCATCATGGGCTTGTACTCATCTGGAATCTGTGCACCAGCTTGCATGCACACTTCAACCACAGCCGGAGCCTTTCCATAATATCTCCTCAGTGAAGAGTCCAAGGGAGGCCCACTAGGATCTCTAACATGCCACACATAATTTGGAGGAAAAACTTCATCCACAGTTGCATCCTGCCAACCATGCTTCCCATCCCTCCACTGGTGCTTAAATGCACCGCAGAGCTTAGCATTGTGACCCCATGGTCCTACATGAACCTCGGTGCAATAACCACACGCTTTCACACTGTATTTCCTCATCAACTTCCTGACACCCTTTTTCACAGTTTCATATGCGCCCATCGTTTCTTGGGCAATTTTAGGTAAATCTGACAATGATGGTCGTGGAAATCGCTCAGAAGCTCTGTAAGTATCAAAATCATTGAGTGAAGAGGGGTCTGCAAAGCGCCATGGTTTAGGTTCCTCTAAATTTCCACCTCTGTCGATTACTCTCCTCCCTAACATCCGGACAGGATTGGTCCTTCGGCGTGAAGGATATTCAGGGATATCCACACCAGCTTGAATGCATAGCTCAACAACAGCTGGAATCCGGTCATATTCAAATCGTGTATCATGTTTAATACGCCTACCAAACGGGTCAAAAAGATGATAAGACTCAATTGGGACAAGTATATCATTGACGGAACCCTTCACCCATGAATGAGAACTATGTCGCCTCCGATTATAAGCACCAGAACAATCCCGAATGTGGTGCCCAGTTTTAGCTACATGAACTTCTGAGCATTCACTACATGAATTCAATTGATAAGAGTATAATATCAGCCTTAAAAATAAATGAAACAAATGCAAAGCAACTAGGACATTGACTGAAAATATATAATATAATCTACCTACAGCCATGAACAGGAATGACATGCAAGAGCTGGGCAAGACCTTTTATCAGAAGCTTCCAAGCATCAAATACTTCATAGGCAACAGGAACTAGGTCTGGAACAAGCAATCCATTCTTTGGAGGCTCAAGAGGTTTCTCTATTCCCATGTGTGCAAGTTTCCTGTCCTCCCTTGCAGCCTGTTTGATTTCCTTAAAGGGAATAGAGAATGGTTTTTTCTTATTCTTAGGTAAAACTGGTGGGAAATCTACATTTTGTGGTAATTCTTTCCGTCTCCACACAGTTCCATTGCTTTTGGGCCTTCTACTGGCACAAACTACAACTCCAGGCAATGTTGCTCCACTCTTGTGAAATTGTTGGTACTTAAACTGCAAAACAAACAAAACTAAAGTGTAATTCCAACTAGGTCGTTTGAAAGATAAACAAAAGAACCATATTATATTTAAAAGACTTGCAGTTTACTTTCTTCAGTAACAGACAAAGGATAACAAACTTCCTCGGCAATTTCTATAATTAATCAGTAGCAGTAAGGGAGAAAGCCCCAATAAACTATTGAGTATTGGGAAGAGCAAAAAATGGATAAGAAATAAATTCATTAAAATTTGAGAATCACTTGGCCAACCTCTGAGAACCATATTATATTTAAGGATGTGGTCTTGAGATTAGAGAACTCCAAAAGACATTGAGAACAAGATTCATTCTAAGCAACACACATTAGAAAAGCACTCCAATATAAAATCGTTGGTTGCTTAATATCAAGAGATTAAGTTAATGCGATAGTGATACTTTTATTTCCTTTAGCAGTTGCTTCCCCCATGCTTGTATATTAAATTTCATCAGAGGAATGAACCAAGATGATGTTAGAAATATGTACAATATTAAATAAAGACAAATAGGAGAAAAGCAAATAAAACCTTCAAACAAAGAGAATATGACTTAGAAGCTGACAGGTGCGGCCAGATTAGCTCAAGGCTGGGGGAAGCACCTGCAAATCAAAAATCATATTAAAACAAGATAGAGTTGTTGTTGATGTTGTTCCCCTTATTGAATGGCATTCCAGAAAATTGTTGAGAAAAATGAAAAGGGTAACTCACAGTTATGAGAAGCATCCCATAATGCAGAAGAAAGCAGTGGCAGCCCCATGTATGTTTTTTCTCTGTTACTGTAGCTCACTGCAAACAAGAACAACAGAATCAAACAAAGCTGTTTTAACAACATTGAATCAACACATGACGAACATAGGGAAAAAGAAACAAAGAATATAAATTTAGTGCAGCAATTCGTGGCAACAGAGAAGATGAGAGCTAGGGTTTCGAAATTTTGTCTGAGCACAGAAACTAATTAGTGCTATGCTAATTCTTTGTTCCTTTCTAAACATTGAACAATTGATTTACACAAGTGTTTGATCCCTTCGTATTACAAGTCTCCTAGGTCCGTGTAGCCTATGTTTGTCTAAAATACAATCCATTTATCAAATAACAACATATAAGTCATATTTGCAAGAAAGTTAGTTATATGCCCACCCTAGTTTTATGGTTTTTCAAACTCTGGTACAAAGTCCAGAGCAGGAATCCTTCCCAACTTTAGTAGGCTACTAGTTGTGGTTGACCATAACATTGTGGCTGTCCAGTGTTAAACACAAACTTTGATTATAACTTCTAGGAGCTGGAAACCCTAAATCCAACTACTTAACTCACTGAAGCAATTTTACAAACACCTCATAGGCATATTTATTCTCGTGCTTCTGGAATAGTCGATTCTAATCCTATTACTCACCCCAAACAGTGCACTTGAAAACGGTACCGTTTGATAGTTCCAATTATGGATTACGACAAAACGAAAATCATAACATAGCAGAGAAAATGTAAGAACTAAGAAGCAATCATCAAAATTGAAAAGCTTGGTGGTTCTAAAACCCTACCTCAGAACCCGTCGCTCGTTATTCTTCCTCCCATTATCTCTACCGAGCGCGAAAGAGAACACATGTAGCAAGTGATATTTATGATTTTTTTCTGATAGATTTTATTTGTGTATTTTGTTTTTTTTTTGGTAGAATTTTTGTCAAATGGATTTAAATGGGTTAAATATTTATTTTATATAATTAAAATTTAAAAGAAATTATATATATAAATAAATATTATACTTAAATATTAAATTATATTTTAGATTTACAATAAATAATTTATATTGTAATCTAAGATTATTTTTATTTATTTATAATTATTTTAAAAATATTTAAATTTAATTCATAAATAATTAGGATAAATAAAAATAAATTTAAATATAAAACCTCTCTCATAAAAAAAAAAGTCAAAAAATATTTTTGTACTACAAGTTAGTTAGAGCCCAACCTATGATGGAGTTTCTTTTAGATTGATCAAAATATAAATCTGACTCAGTCTTCCAAAATAAAATACATAAAACAACATTCGATTAAACCCATTTTGCCATCCATATAAAAAACTGTAAATTTTAATTTTTATAGACACAAAAAGAATTACTCACAATTATAAATCACCACAAAACACCATGTAAGGACTAAAGCGTATAATCTTATTGTATAATGACTAAAATTTAAAATGAAAACAATTATAAGGACCAGATAACTGGTTCAACTTAAAAATTATTAGAGTTTTATAATGAAAAAAAAAATGATAAGAGTTTAAAATAATTTAAAATCTAAAGTTATAATTACTTGAAAATATTTTTATATATAAAATAAAAAATGAAAATATATTTTATATTTATCAGTTGATACAATAATTAATTTCATCGGATACTTTAATAATTTAACTTTTAACTTTTCATGGATTTTTGTTTAGCTTTAACTTTTAACTTTTCAATAAATTAATTAATTAGGCGAAAACATACCTCAGCAAAAGAAAAAGAGTATGCACTATGAACCTTAATCAAACTTACTTTCTTCTGGGAACAAGCACTGGCTGTAGATTATCGGCACTAGATCTGCTGGTAGTGTATTCTTCCTCTCTTTCTCGCCAATTTCATGCCATCAATTCACTTTTCTTAAAGGCCAAAGCTCTAAGAATCACACTGTCTAGCCCTTCATTTACCATTCCATAAAAGTGTCACTAATCATTGGGAAGAAATTGACGAATCTGTTCTCCATTTCTAGCCATACTGTATTTTGTTGATCAAGAAATAGGAAGTGGCACATCTGACTCCTTATCTGTTTGTTGTGTATCCGATGGAACAGTGCTCAGTGAAATAACTCCTAAAAGAAATTCCTTTCAGTTCGCAAAGTTTTAGAGTGTTTGTATGAATGATTTAAAAATGTGGTAAATTGATCAATGTGGCAAGTACTTGATTGTTCGAGCACCACGCACATATATATTGAATTTTAGTAATATGATTCTAATTACTTGTAACATGGGTATGAGGGAAAGGTATTGTTATCAATTTATTAAATGTTAATTCAATAATAAAATATATTTTTTTATTAAAAATAACCCAATGAATTACTTGATGAGTAACAGTAATCAGGCCAAATGGCAACTATCATTTTACCAGTATCAGCTTTTTTATGGGCAAATGAAGAAAATGAAACAAAAGTATAGAGATAGCAAAAATAATACGAGAGTAACACCTTTACCAATAAACACTGAAATCTACTTCAAAGTTCTTATTTCATTAAACATTACAGCAAATTGTTCATGAAAGTCCTCATATTTCATTCATTAGGAATATCCCTTTGTAGGATTTATTCAAAGTTATAGTGCTTGTCAACTGCAACCGAAACATCCCAAGTGCAACTCATCCCTTTCGGAAACTCGACAAAATCACCAGCAGCAATTTCTACTGATTCGTTTGCCCCACTTGGGGTAACCTTCACTTTTCCTTCCAAGAGATAGCATGTCTCTTTAGACTCATATGTCCATGGGAATTTGCTTGGAGGGCAACCCCATCTGTTTTACATCAGAATGTGAGTCGTGCAGAGAGAAACAACTTCATAAAAGAAAGAACAAACATGTAGTTGAAGAAAATCTAGTTAAGAGTAAAAGCTTTTGTATTGAAAGTTTAAGCCCCAGTTTGTTCTGGCATTGGAAAATCAATTCATGCACTGTCTACAGAAAAATACATGTTTCAATGCAAGTTTACAGTTGAAATTAATTTGGACAAACATCCTAATCACATTCAATAATTCAAAAAAAAAAATCAATAAAAATCAAATCTGCCCAACTTTAAAACAAATGACCCTATTAAAAATGAAATAGCCACAGTCCAATAAGTGATAACATTTTAGTGCAAGCAACCTCAACTGAAGTGAGCAACATGCAAACCAGAAAGATAAAATTTATAAAATTAAAACCAAAACATGTACATTGTTCAAAAGTTTATCCACCAATCTTGATTAGTGATCTCAATTTTACAAAGCCATCCATGATAATGCCAAGGTGATGAATTAATTCCAGCTACGCATTAGGCCTCTTTTATTGAACCTCATCTCTGCAGTCGATTTTTATACTGAAATTCACCAACGGATTTTGATCTACCAAACCACAAATGCAAAGCACATGACTAACTTAAGGGTATCGTATATCTGAAAATAGTATTTGACATTGTTTAGCAGATAACGGTCCCTGATTCAGTTGAATATCCCAAGAGAACATTTTGAGTATAAAATGATTAAAACATGTTTGATACTTATTTCAAATTAGAACTTGCCAACAGCCATCATTATATCACTAATTCACTATTAACAGTAAAATCCTCCTATGAAACACAGCCAATAGTTCAATAGAAATCATACTAAGTAGCAAATAGCAACGACTTATCTTTTGCCTGCACATAGAAAAATCGTTCTGGAAAATTGGATGGTAATCAGAAATATAGTTAAAAGGTGCAACATTATTTAATCTGTCACCATCAATTGCATTGCAAAATTCAGGGACAATCACCTAGCTTTGTCAAACTGATGAGGAAGCAATATGATAATTTGTTGGGTCTCCTAATACTTATTATCACTATAGGACACATCTACAACAAAGTCCAACATAGTTAAATAGATACCTTAGTTCCTTAAGCATATTAGCAGGGGGTTTGATTCCCTAACAGTACGTATGAAGAAGACTTTATTGAGAGAAACAAAACCCACTTTGGTTATCTCTATGCATCTAAAGGTATTAGAGTCTGTTTGAATAAACTTATCCCGAAACACTTCTAGGAGGAAAAACTAGGAAGGAAAATCAAAATAAGGTCCTTCATAAACAAAAACTTATGCATGAACTGAAAATAAGATTTTGGATAAGCTAATAGGAAATTTTTTTATAAATTAGCTTATACATAAGCTAATTTTAACTCATGAAAAATTATAGTTATTTCATTTTACCTCCTTAATTGTCTCTCCTATAAGTATTTCAAGAAAAGTTTCCTCAAACACACTTAGTCGACTATCACTTGGAGTCCGTGCAATCCAAAAATAAAAACTATAGGACACATCACAATGCAGTCAAGTCAAATATTATCGCTACACTTTAGTAGTTTCTTTCTTTCTCCATCATATATAATTCTTTTTTGCTATGATGAGCAACTACTAAATTCTGTTGCATTTGAATAATAAATCCCTATTCTATTCATACTTGCATTCAAATTATACCATTAACCATTTGTTACACAATTTCAAATACATGTTAAAATAAAAGTCTCGTTTTCAACGAAATGCCTTAAACAAATTATTTTAAAATATATATATTTCCAGACTTTAACGATGTTAGTCTTCCTTACCTTTCGAAAACACAGAATTTTCCATGATTGCCTAAGTTGTCGGAAACATAAATAGTATTACATAGAAAGTATCAGAAATAAAACTAACCACAATCCCTTGGTACCCAATGATCAAGAAGACCAAGCAATAAATGTGTATGTAAAAGTTTAGGGTAAAATTAAGAGAAAAAGGAAGAGGGTAAAGAAATGAAGTATACTTGGGCCATTGCCTAACACCAAGTTGAGTGAGCTTGTCTTCGGGAGGGTTCCTCTCGATTTTAATGCCCAATTTCTCGCTGACATACTCATATTCTCTCTTCTTAGGTTATCGTTGGATCACTGCAAAAGACGATTTTTTGGTTTAGGGTATGGTTTTCACTTTCCAGGACATGAAAGGCAGTTTTTGGTTTCCTAGATAATCAGAGAGTGGTTTAATGCTATGTGCCTTTGTCATTTTCGACATACACCGTTTTTGTAAATCTTAAATCAAAAACTTTAATTTTATAATGGTTAGTAACTATTTAAAAAAAATTAAAATTTTTAAGAAATATAATTTTTTGAAAAATTATTTTTATCTTATTTTTCATAAAAACATTCTTATAAAGTTAGAAATCCAACTTTCTTAAATTAAGGTGAAAGTTTTATATATATATAAAAAAAATCATTTTTTAAAAAAAGTTAATAAATATTTTTTTATCGATTATCATTTCAACAACAAATACAAAAATAAATTAATTTTATTGATTAATTAAAATATAAATTAAATTAAATAATTTATTATATTTTTTTTATCACGTTTAATTATATTATTTTAAAGAAAATTAGTACAATATTTCATGTATAAATTTTTAATAAATTAGTTTATTGTATTTCTTATTATAATTTTTATTAGATAAAAATTACTATTTATTTTTTTTTTTATCATTTTTCTTGTTAATCTAATAATAAAAATTAAATGATTATATAATATTCATAAGATATGATATTTTATAATTATTTAAAATTTATAAATTATAAAACTATTTTTCTAATTTCTTATTATAACTTTTAACTTCTAAGTTTAACAAATTATTTAAGAAAAATAATATTACTTTTATTTTACCTATATTTTAATTTTAATTATTATTTTGATTGTTAATTTAACTTTTTTTTATCATAAAAGTTATATTTTATACTTTAATTTACTGTTATTTTTCATATTATTTAATCATATTTAAATTATTGATATGATATTTTTATGTTAAATTATGACCTGATACAATGAAAAAGAAATTTATTTTTTTTTATAAAAAAAACATTTATATAACTAGAAAGTAATATTGTAATCAAATGTGAGAATAAATATATTGATATTTTCATGAATTTTTATAAATAATCAAAAGAATTTTAACCATTCTAAAAAAATCATGATTCTCAAATTTTGTAATTTTCATTAATCATGATTTTTAAATATATAAAAAAATTTCCTATCAAACACCCTCATAATGATATGATCTAAGAAAATATGATTGAATTATTTTTTTTCTTATAATTTTATAAAATTTAAATTTTGTCTTTATATTAAAAAAATGTATGAATGAAGAAAAGTTTCGTTTAACAAACAATTAATTCAAAACATGTACAATCGTATGAGTCATTCCACTATTGTCGCATATTTTACAATGAACTAAATAATTTAATATATAATTAAATTCAGGAAATTACTATAAGTAGAATTAATATTTATATTTATCTTATAAAATAAACATTGTTTGAAGTTATATATTTTTTACTTAGGTACTATTATTTAAAATATTTGTTTAGGTTTCTGATAGAATTTATGAGAATAACTCGTAGGTATCATTAGCTTACTCAAAGAGAAAGATGTGAGGCCCAAAATGAAAAAAGGTCTTACAAGATGGGGAAATATGGTCCAACTTCAACTAAATGAAGCAATAAAAGATCATGTCAGCAAAAGCAAGCCTGCAATGGGCATGTTGTTTTGGGGAAAATGCATGCATAGTAGTTGGTACTTGGTGCCCCTACCTAATGTAAACTTCAAAGCTATCTGTCTTCAAACATATTGGATCAGTGCATCCACATTGCATAAAGTAATACTGCATGCAAAAAAAGCCTTTTTCTCCTTATAATACCTCCAAAAATTGTATTATTGTCCAGAGACCAACAAACCATGTCAATAGGTGCACAAATTATGGCACCAACTCAAGAATGTCATTTGTTATTGTTCACTTCAATAGCCTACAAAACATCAATTCAAATCTAGGATAATAAAAAAATCAAGAAAAATATAATGGTAATTAGTTACTTTACTTTTCTTGATACCTAGCTAATTGGTTAAGAGTGATTAAGTGGAGGTTTAGGAATATTTTCTACAACAAAAATAAAGCATTAGTGAAACACCTCATGCCTTATCTTGGTTGAGATTTTAATATATTCTTTTAATATTTAGTCAAGTTCAATATATTATAGAAGTACCATCAAATTATCAAAATAATCGATAGTAACACATCCTTCCCTATTCTTCTCATTTTCCTTTTTTCTTCACTTGCATTTGCTCTTGGTTCCCTAAGGCTCAGATTCTTTCTCTTAGGCTGAGGTGTTGAGCACCAAAGGGATCCATCTCTCCCAACTCACGGACGTTCGAAGCTAGCTTTGGGCGCGGAGCTTTCTTTTGCTCTCTTTTTCCATTCTTCTCTTCCCGGAGCTCGGAATCTTCTCCACCGAGGTAAGGGAAGCTAGTTTTTGTAGATTGTTGGCTGAAGATGAGTTCTAGAAGCTCATTGTTGTTTGATGATGGATGATTTTGGATGAGATTGACGAAAAATGGATTTTTCCGGGGTTTCGAGGTTTGGGTGAAAATTTTGGGATTTTCATTGATCTGAGGTTACATGTTGGAAATGAGATGCTTTTATTGATGTTTGATGGAAATGTAAACTTGTGGATGGTTACATGTTGGTTTTATGGTGGTTTTCGTAGATTTTGGTGAAATTTTTGAAGTAGGTGAGGATTCCTGTTTGAAATTGCGCCGGGCGCAGTTCTTCGCGGCGGGCGTGAGTTGAAATGGGAATCCTTGGGTGAATCACGCCGGGCATGGGAAGGACCACGCGGGGCGCACTATGCGCTGGGCGCAGGATGATTGCGCCGGGCGCAATAGACCTCTGTAGGTCTCTGGGTGAGAATTGCGCCGGGCGAGATTTTAATGCGCCGGGCGTGCATTTGATTTTCAGAATTTGACTTTATAGTATTCATGAAAGTTGTATCCTTGGATGTTAGCTTTCCAATGGCACTGGAATCACCCAAAAAGGAGTTTTAGAACTCTAGATATGGCTATTTTAGTGAAGAGGGGTCGAGTTGCTAGTTTTGTTTATAGCTGTTGCGGTTTTTATCATTTTTAACAAAGTAGATGAAGGAATTAGGTCTTGGTGTCTTCATGAGAATTGTAGGAAATCTTCTTATATTTCATATGAGATAAGGATGAGTATGGTAGGAGTAGTATAACTCCTGATGTGCTATTTTCTGTGAAGGTTGCCATTTCACATTTAGTGATTTGGTTAAGTTGAAAGTTGTTTTAGGTGCTTAGGTTGATTGGTGTTGTTTGGGTGGGTAATTTGATAAGATAGATGAGTTATAAATAAGGTGGATGAGCCGTATTATGTGTTGAATATGTTATATGTTGTATAAGCTGTTAATGATGAATGTTGTTGAGCTGAAAATCTTCTTATCTTTCATATGAGATAAGGATGAGTATGGTAGGAGTAGTATAACTCATGATGCGCTGTTTTCTGTGAAGGTTGCCATTTCACATTTAGTGATTTGGTTAAGTTGAGAGTTGTTTTAGGTGCTTGGGTTGATTGGTGTTGTTTGGGTGAGTAATTTGACAAGATAGATGAGTTGTAAACAAGATGGTTGGGTCGTATTATGTGTTGAACATGTTGTACGTTGTGAAGTTGTTGATCATGCTGTTTAAGCAGTTATTGATGATTTTCATGTTGAGTTAAAATATTGTTGTACTATAGATTGTTGAGCTGAGTTGAAAATGATGGATATGATGTGATGATTAGTAGATAATGTGGTTGATAATTCTGAGCTATAATTAGCTGTGTTGCAAGTTGTGTGTTGTGTTGTATGTTGATATGAGTTGTTGTTGGCCGAAAGGCTGAGTTGTTGTAGGCCGAAAGGCTGAGTTGTTGTAGGCCGAAAGGCTAAATTGTCGTAGGCCGAAAGGCTGAGTTGTTGTAGGCCGTAAGGCTGAGTTATTGATCACTAAGGCTAGAAGAAATGTTTTCGAAACTTCCTCATCCCATTGTGTGGATTAAGTGGCTGTGGTGCTCTTGGAGCCCAATTTGTTGAAAACCTTCCCTGGGAAGCTGACCCTTGGAATGGTAACTTGTTGTTCTCCTCTAAGTCTTAGTGGTCCCGTGTGTGGGCAAGGTCGAGGCACACGTGTACAAAGCGACCACGGTATAGGGGCCAGGTCGACCTATACCGATTACAAGCGACCAATGCTAACTTATATGCGTGACGCATTGTATGTTTTATTGTTGTTATGTTGTATGGTTGATGTTAATGATGTTAGATGTGTGATGTTATTCCCAAATGTTGTGGCATTTTAAGTTGATGTTGTTAAGATGGTTGATGTGCTAATAACTGTAGCTATTTTCTATTCACATATTTATATATGTATGTTGTTTCTTTTCACTAGCTTACCCTTGTTGTTTCCATGTGGTTTGGACTGCGATGATCATACTATGTATGGGAGCAGAGCAGGGATAGGTTGGTGGCTAGTGGTGAGTCTGCAGCTGGCAGGCAGAGCTAATCCTTGTTGATGCTTTGTTGTTCCAGCTACTTGGTGTAGTAGCTTCGGATGTATTCTTGTACATTTTGAATCTAGTCAGACTTGGACATGTATATATGTATATTCTAGACACTATATGTATACACTTGTTCTTTTCTGTCCGGTTTCAGGTGTATGGTGTAGTGTGTAGTGACCAGCCGGGTCGTTACAACTCCAAGGTACGTGCACCATGTATATATGTATATTCTAGACACTATATGTATACGCTTGTTCCTTTCTGTCCGGTTTTCAGGTGTACTGTGTAGTGTGTAGTGACCAGCCGAGTCGTTACATTATTAATCTTTGTTTATTTAGTATTTTTGTGCATAGAGGTTTCCACACACACATATTTTTACATTAGTAAGATATTTGTCCACTTTAGACTTAAGTCCTCAAAGTTTTATTTTTGATCATCTCTCAAAAGATCTCTTACCAATGGTGACCCATAGAATTTAGTCATGTTCTAGATACTTGCATCGTTAAGTCACCAT